AGGCTAAGTCAGTGCTTGCCTGTGGTGTTCTTTTAGCAAGCTCACTATTGTTTCGACATGTATCGTCTCTGTTTCTGTTGGGATCAGTGTCCCTTGTGTATTTTAACTTGAATCTGCCTTGAAGGTTGTGTCGCACCAGTGAATGACCTTCCTATAAAAGTTCCTAGACTTAGGAATTCGTTAGAGAGAGCTTAGCTTTGCTAAGAGCATCAAGAATAAGAGAAACTCTTCAAGATATTGAAGTATAGTTGGATTGCATTAGACATAATTGCTCCCCCTAGAACTTACAAGGGTGATTGTAGTTTGTGTAGTTGTGTGAGTGTGTGTGTGGGTTTTTGAGGTTTGCCTTTTAGCCTGCTCACTATTCCACAGGTGCCCACAGCCAGCCTCTTCAGCGTCAAGCATCTAACTCTGTTTCATAGCTTACCCTGATTCTGTGCCCTGTAACATTCTGATCCTCCCTCCCTTCTCAAGAAACTCTGCACACGATCCACTGATTTGACATTTTGCGTAACATTGCCACAACCTCTCAGATGCACAAATTTCTCCACCAAGCACATCTTCTGCTACTACACGTGAACAGACATGCTTGAGTGAAGGAGGGATGAAGAACACAGGGTTGTGTGTGAGGTGAGGAGAGGCAAGGGTTCAGCTTGTGAGGTAGAGAAAGGAACCCTTCTTGCATCTCTGTGCTCCCATTACCCACATCACCCACCCCACATCAACTCCTGCCCTGCTCAGCTATATCTACCTAGGTCCAACGACCTCTCACACCATTCACCTAGGAATCATACAGGCCCAACACTGTATATCACCTTCCAGCAAGTGGAGCAGCTGTGAGAGAGGTTCAAGCAGGCAGTGGGAGAGATGATGGACTCAGCATGGATCATCCATGGCATGCACACCCCTCCTTTGATTGAAAGACCATCACTCATCACTGATACCATGTCTCGAGAGCATGCACTCTGCCCTCTCCTCCCACCCTGTCACGTGGTATCGACTGGCTGCGCCATGTCTGTTTTTTGTCATACTTTTTTTTGGCTTCCTCATTGGATTGTGAAACACACCATTCTTGTCTTTCTCCACCCACTCCAAGGTGAGGCTGATGGGAAAGACAACATGGGCATGTAAGTCTTGGTATGCAGAGGAGCCTGTGGGAGCATGTGTGAAGAGGCTGGGGAGGAAGGGTTCGAGGGTGTAGCTGGTTACTTAGGAAGAGTTGGGTCCCAGGACTAGGGGAGGGGTTAGAGAGGAACTGGGGAGGGGAGGATGGGAGGCTTACAGTGACATAATCAATGATGCATTGGATGGTAGACTCGGAGTACTCGACTCATGTGGGGATATCATTGTATATGGACCTAGTCAGGTTCATGAGTCAGCAGTAATCCCACAAGTTGATGAACACACTGGTATCAGTGGAAGTAAACATCAAGTTGAGGTCAGTGAAGGATGTATCAGTAGAGCAAGAATTTGTCTGAATGAAGGTCACGCATAGTTGGAGAGTGTAATGGGAGTAGTATGGTATGATCATTTCAAACAATGAACACCAGGCAATGGTTGTGCCAGCTAGCATTCTTCTGGTCTGCACCATCAGTACATCTAGGCCTTCTCACTCTTAACTTCCCATCTAAATCCCAACCTAACCTTCAGCCAGTATGGAAATGCAAGTGAATTACATAACAAGTTTGCTCACATGCCTTGGCTCACAACCTCTGCATCCTTTGCTATGGCCATAGCCCTTTGGTGCACCGTGCTCATTATGTGCCCTCTCATCATGACTCCTTGAGAGAAATATGGTTCAGAGGACACACGGTGATACGCCTGGTATCAGGCTACCTGTAGATTTTGCGATTTTACATCAGTTTATGCAATCTACAAGTGGTACAGAGGGCTACAGTGGAGGCTTCGCGCTGGTAGCTAAATACTACATAAAGAATGAAAGCACGGCAGTACAGAACGGACTTAGAAACGACATCTCGAAGAGTCAATTCTACCAGCCGTCAACACGCCAAGCTAAGCCCTACCTAAACAAGACTATTACAGTCAAATCTCAGGGACTTGTCTGTATGGAGTATAAAAACCAAGAAGTTGAAGAATGGAATGAACTAGATGCCTCGTCGCCTCGACGAGTAGAAAGAACCTGTCAGGAAAAATTGCTAAGTCGAGAAACAGATCAGCTTTTGAGATCAACTCAGGCTAGGAAAGGAATAACCTTGGAAGAATGAATAGCCGCGTTGGGTACCGAGATGACTGACCTTGATCGTGCAGTGATCAACAGAATACAATCTCGGACCTGCAGTCGATCGCGATCGGTGGTTACATCCTCGAGATCCTGCGCATACCGCAGTATTCAATACATACGGCACGTGGCAGGCCTTGCAGACGGAAGAAGGAGCACCCACAGACTAGTAGGGCACTCCTCGGTGACAGAATAACCCGGCGCAGTCGCGTCGAACTGAATAGAAACTACGGAATGGCGCGATACTTGTAGGATAGTGACTCACCGTTTGTATTAATTCCAAAGCTTGTACCATAATTACTGTAGATACGGGCTCCTATACCTAGAACATGAATCGTATAAATTAGCAGTGACTAGACGCATAACAGCAGGAAAGCATTCCCCCGTGTTTGTGCTAGTAGCCTGTATAGCTACCTAATCAATCACTGGTTTTATTGCATATCCTCGACTGAAGTGAATTAAGTTACCAAAGTCAACCCATAAGAGCGACTACAGTAATCTAGAAGAGTTAAGTAGGAAGTAGAGCTGTCCCCACGTTTGCGCCTTGCTAGTTAATTGAACTGCTCCACAGACAAAGGCCTCATGCTCTCTCTCTCCGAGATTAGCGATCTAGATGTGCTGAGTCGGCTTTAAGTCAAAAGACCTCATCTAGTTGAAGTAAAATAAGCCCTAGAACGCTTTAAGTTCGAACAATCGTCGAGTTCAAGGAACTCCAGAGTCTGTGTACTCTTTGCAAGTCTCGTACTTGAAGTCAGAACCTGTGCATTCTTTGTAGAGTGATTTTGCACTCTTTGTAGACCTCGGAGTCTTTGGTTGTCTGATTATTTGAAGTGTCTGCTAGAAGCTCTTCTAGACGACGTCAAAATGAGTATAACTTGCTCGACTATACCTTGCAAAACAAGTTCATAAAACCCCGCTATCGCGGACTAGTGTACTTTGTGTAAAACACATCGAAAGAAGAATTGAAGTTGTTTTCAGACAAACCCCACTAGATTATCTAAATCTAAGTATATCGCGAGTGCTTCTATCGTACTCACCCTCGAACTTATATACATTGGTGATAGTGTGTGTGTGTGTGTGTGATTAAGTATCTAGATTGACAATCTAGACGCTTGTTTCATTTGCGCGCTGCCCGTTACCAAGCACATCAACGGTCGTTGTATCATCGCACTGTCAAGCTCTTTGTCGAATCTGGTTCTCTACTCTGTCAGATTGATCCTCTATGTTGTGTTCATCGCTTACACAGAGTGAATGCACTACTACCTTGAGCCAGTGGCAGTGGCCGAGATTACAGAAGTACAATTTGGTCTTCATCTCCCCATTACTTTATCCTAACGGAATTTTGGCTTTAGGCAGTTGCACCTACCCTCGTTTTGGGACACATCTTGATAGGCTTTGCACATCTCTACAATTCTTGGAACAGAAGTGTCCCAGCTATGAAGGAGAACCGTCTCAGGCTCTGTCAAAGCAAATTCACTCTGTCATGTTCACTGATGAAAGTTTGTGCTCCAGCCCCGGCTCTGGCTGAGAGTCATCCTGAGACTGTCCCATGTGCCTGTTTCTACATAAGCCTGCTGGTACAGCTTTTGTAATTAGGAACAGCCAGTTTTTCCTGGACTTCCTGACAAAATGAGTACTATGAAACTCACAAGAGCATCGAAGATGGTGAAATGATAGGTGAGTATTAAAAAATTGCCCATAATCACCATTTTAGCATGTTATCCAGCTGGCTTCTAATTGGTATGACAGTGTCATGAGTTGAAGCATCACCTCCAGGATGTTGGCAGTACATATATGGCTTTTCATGGATTAGGGTAGCTGGAATAATAAGTCCATCTGTGATACCCTGTCTTCATTGCTTGACAAGAAGACATCTCCCCTCGATTGCCATCTTGTCCAATCTTTTTAACATCAGGCTTGATATTGATATTTGATTCTACAACCCACCAGTCTATTCTCTCAGCTGTCAGTATTAGACTGCACCACAATCTTTGTTGATCTCAGCATCTACGTGATGGGTAAAGAACCAATGATGCAAACAAGGATGGGTCAACTCAGATGTGTTGTGCAATGCCCAGCCTTCACAGAAGTATCAGGAAAGATAACTGCCTCTAGAAGAGATCGGAGTTATGGGATATGTGTTGTAGTTTCTCTTCCCTCACTTTTCTAACAGATGCCTTATTTCCAGGGGCAACTTTTGAGCTTCTCATATGACCGTGCAGCTGGTTTTTGAACTTCTTGTCTCTATATGATTTGCAAAAGCTGGTGCCCCTCCGAAGACCTTTACCAGAACTCAAGTATCTAGGATTTTCCAGCATAGTAACAATTGCAACTCACATTGAAAATTTCCTGCCTTTTTCCCATTGATTCTGGAGCAAAATCTGATCAGGATTCATGCCATGACAGAACAAGTTCATGTTGGTAGGTGCAAGATCTAACCTCGCTGATTATCTTCATTCTCTTCCTCGACGCAGCTTTGCTGATCCTAATCCAACAGAACATATATCTGAGGAGCTCGCAGTTGGTGATAGAGGGCTTTCTCCAGCAATATCGCACTTCGAGTCACATTGCACTTGCGAGTTAAAAATGTCAAGGTACATGATGGTTCATTAAGTAGCCAAAGACGTTCAGTATGTAAAGATCCTGGTTTGACTTGATGCTGATGATCATCTTTGCAGCAGCCAATGAGCATGGCCATTAGCTGCATTGTTTATAATGGTAGGGTTGGTACATGTTATTCTCATAACCCACTACCCCATCACTCTTGCTTTTCCTCATGGCAATTCAGGCAGATATTCCACCTGATCTTACCAACAGAGATAAAGCTCTCATGTTTCAATTGCTCAATGCTTACCTGAACTCCCAAATTCTCCTCATGTCATTGCATGGTGGGCAACAACGTTTAGTGCCTTGACATGTACGTGTTGACTGATGACAGGCATATACACCAGAATTCTTGCTGTTACATTGTGGAATATATGTGAGCTGGGAGCATCTCTACTACAGCATCCAAGCTAATGTGAGTGGCACTGGCACAGTCATCAACAAATGCTGGCTGATACAACGAGCCTTGGTTGTCATCATTATTCTCCTTCATGTCCTGAGTACTATTGGTGTTGCTACCAATTGGTCATTTCTATGCTCTGCATTCATTGAAAATGGGCAAAGTTTTTGGACCATATCCTTAAAGCTTACCAATGCGAACCAAGCAGCCTATTGGGAGGGGGGTATTCCATCCTTAATGAGTACCATTCTTGCAGACTTATATATCGTGTGTGCTACTCCACTGGTGATATCCACACCAACTTATCATCTTTTTGATTCTAGATGTGGTGCTGCTGGATGGTCTGGGGACAGTGCTGGCTTGTTGTTCTACTTCCAATCCTTTCCCTAATTTCTGCAACTGGTAAAGTGTTTGATCTCATCTACTCTTTTCATATATCCAACATTATGTGTAGTGTTGAAAATCATGGAAATATACCTTGAGTACACCCAGACCGATGCATCATACGAAGTATTCCTGATACTCTACATATCCTTCACCCTGGCAATGACATTATGGTGCACACTGCTCATCATTTTCTGCATTTTGACTGTTATTGGGGTTAGACACAGAGCAGGTGGCTGACAGGGAGTTTTTCACCATTTTATTGAAGTGCTAGTGGAATCCTCTGCTCTCTATTTGATAGCTCTGGTTCTATATCTGGCTTTCTTCATTCACAGTGATTTTGGATTTTATTACCTTGATTCCATAGCTGCCATTGTGAGGGTTCGTTCACTATCCTGGACTCCCTCATTGTTTATTGAACACCTTGTGTAGGGAGTTGCACCCATGCTCCTTGTTGGCAAAGCAGTGGCAGGACACACACACCCAACTGAAGAACATGATGAAAGTGCAACAGTGTCGACCCTTCATTTCCAAATGGCTTTCCAATCCTCTCAACCTTTGCAACCTTCCACTTCAAGCTTTCAGGAATCCACTGTGCAGAGTGCAGTCCTTGAAGTGGACATTGAAGCTCAACGGGAGCGGTCAGATGAGCTCATGGTAGTGGTTGAAAGGACACAATAAAGCTCATGGTGAGTGTCTGAGAGTCGGGTTGAGACTGGAGACTAAATTTTGACTGTAATTTTTTGTCATCCTATCCTTTTTTACTATCATAGTACTCCCTACTTCAAGTTTATTTCTCGATCAACTATAAAGTATTTGAATCTCCGTAATCTCTACCTCCCTTTGGATCTTTATGTATGAGCTTGTAGGACAGTCCTAAGGAGCGATATTATTCCTACGCATTCATAAGTGCAGAAACTCCAGAGAACGTACCCATACTCTAGGCCGCATTGTGTTCTCCATCGTCGCCTGGTTCAGACTTATTCTTATTTTGCCGTGTGTCATGATGGAGGACAGCTTGCTTCGAGGAAGCATCAGATTTGGCATAGCATCATAGCGGAAGTATAGTTAAGTTATAAAAGATGTTTGCACGCGATCAGTGCAAGTGGCTGTGGTACAAAGAAAAGAGGTGTCAGGATTAGCCAAACCTGACTTGTTTCTTGCTTTTGTGTAAGATGCCAACCTCCCACCCTGTGTTTCACTCTGCCATCTGGTTTTCCTTGGCGCGTCGTTTTTCGACCACTATGTATTTATCTTTCCAGCCTAATCGGAAGGACGGGTCACATCAAGTGAAGAGCATTGGGCACTACTAATCTCGAGGTAGAGCTGTCTGGCCTATCATAAAACAGTCAGAATCCCCTTGACACTGCGGTGATGAGAACATAAGACTAGTGCGGTCTCCTGGCATATACCTTGAGCATATCATTATTGACCAATCAGCGTTAAGCTTCAAGATATGCTCCAGAAAAACTCCGGGTAGCCCCAGGGTGTCTATGTAGCCATCGCCGCAGTGTGAATGGTTCAGTCTCGTTCACGTTTACTATCCTGAATTCCCATCATACGTCACAGACAACAAGGAAGACGCCCTATCAAACTTGCAATTCTCCAAATGCACCGTCAAACCCAGGTCTACTGAAGACATCGGTGTTATCGTGAGTATTGCCTTTGCTCGTTTGTTCATGCCTGATGTCCAGACATCCTAGGTGAGATGAAGACGCCAAGTCAGGCCAATAGTAACCAATCCCTGCAGATCAAAGGCAGCGGATGCACCATAGATCGAGGGTTTTCCTCGGCACCTGGTGTCCAGATCACTATGATATGCTTCTACGAGGTCATGTATGACTCTGCAACCCAGACAACAGTGATTGGTGCTGGTAGTATTTCAGACAACATCTATGCAGTGCTGAGTGCTCAGGGTGTGAACGTATTTGGGGAGAGAGTAAATCGGTTCACTCTTGGTGGTGGTGCGTATGCCTGTAATGATCAAAAGTCCTAACTGAACGCGTTTCTGAAGGGTATTTGTGGCTGAGAGACCAGTACGGGCTCCCTATTGATAATGTGCTCACATACGAGTTGGTGGCGCTGAATGGGACTGTGGTGACTGTGAAGGAAGAGACTGATACGGAGCTTTTTCTTTTCAGGTACGTGCCCGTCTCTTAGATATCCATTTTTTAATTATTTTAAAAGGGCAGCAGGAACAACTACGGTATTGTCACTCAGTTTACCCTAAGGATGTTCCCACAGAATACCTTTTGGGTATGCCTGCCCTTGAACTATCAGTAGAGCTGTCTGACTGGCTTCTCCAGGGATCCATTTGGGATCCATCTATGTCAAGTTCTGTTCAGAAGTCACCAATCCCAAACCCGCAGTATCAATACCCATCATATACATAAAGTATATGCCAGCGGTCAGGTATGCCATCCAGATTCTCTCCTGCTATTGAGCTCTCAATGTAATTACAGGTCTTTATCTCCACTTGAATGTTCTACAACGCCCCCATTCTCCCAAACGGCATATTCGATAACTTCCTCAGCATACCCAGCATGTTCCTTCAACGACTTCATCAACTTGATGTTTGTTTCCATTGATAACGGTATGTTTGTTAACTTGTGGGATTACTACCGGTTCACGAACCTGGCTAGGACCGTATACAACAATATCGCCACACTTGAGTACTCCGAGTCTACCACCCAATGCATCATCAATGGTCTCACTGTGAGCCTCCCTTCCCCCCTCCTCTGTCACTCTCTAACCCTTCATAACCAGCTACACCCTTGAAAACTTTCTCCCCAGCATCCTCGCACATGCTCCCGCAAGCTTGCGTGCCCACGTCATCTTTTCTACTTGGAATGGGTGAAGAAGAGGAGGATGGTGTGTTTCGCGATACAGCAAGGAAGCTCAGGGTAGGGAACGGCCTGTAGAGATACCCAAAATGATATGCCGGTGGCGGATATGTTTGGTGAGGAGGGCATGCAGAGGATGCAGGCTGTGAGGGAGAGGGCAGATCCGGAGGGAGTGATGCGGTTGACGATGGGGTTCAAGGTGTAGTAGAGGAGATGCGAACGGTGCTGCCATCACATGAGGAGAGGCAAGGGCCAGCATGTGGGGTAGAGAAAAAACTCTTCCCGCATCTTTGTGCTCCTGTTACCCACATCGCTCACCCCTCATCAACTCCTGCCCTGCTCAGTTGCATTTTCCTAGGTCCAACAACCTCTCACAACATTCGTCTAAGTTCCATATGGGCCTGACACTGTGTATCAGCTTCCAGCAAGCGGAGCAGCTGTGAGAAAGGTGGTGGGAGAGATGACAAGCTCAGCGTGGATAATCCATGACACACACTCCCTGCATTTGATCGAAAGTCATTTGTGATGAAAACCCATCACCTCCACCGTGTCGAGGGCATGCACTCTGCCCTCCCCTCCCACCCCATCACGTGGTATCGACTGGCTGTGCCATGTCTGTTTTTTGTCGCACTTTTTTTTGATTATCTTTCTTCGTGCCATCCATTTTTCGATTGCTTATACAGTACATGCATATCTCTATATAGTACGAATTTAACCTTTGGTGCAATAGTCACCATAAAGTAGCCATATAGCTCTTCAACACGCATCTCTGCTTTGGCGGTGATTTCCAATTTTAGAGGCACACGTGTTTCGGATTCACCCAGCCGGTCAGCTCCTTGTTCTTCCACTCATCAACTTGAACGAGTACTTCAAACAATACTCTACAGCGGCAGGATGTTCGTATTCCCATCCACCTGGTGCAACACTCCACAGAAGAATGTATCGACAGAGCAAGGACTTGGCCGAATGAAGGCCATGTGTAGTTGGAGAGAGTAATGGGAGCAGTACGGTATGGAGCATATCGAGCCACGAACACTGGGTGACGGTCGTGCCCTCTAGCATTCTTCTGGTCTGCACCATCTGTACATCCAAGCCTTCCCATACTTACCTTCTCATCTAAATCTTGATTAGTATTTAGAATCATCGAAACTCAAGTGAATTACATGTTGAGTTTACTCAGATGCCTTGGCTCGCGATCTCCGCATCCTTCACTATGACCACAGCTCTCTAGTTCACCATACTCATTACATACCATCTCACCACGTCCTCTCAGGAGAAAGGCAGTTCAGAGGATGTGTGATTGTTGTACCATCGCACTGTTGAGCTCTTCGTTGAATCTGCCATTCTCTACTTTGTCAGCCTGATCTGTGTCATGTTCATCGCTCGTACTGAGCGAATGCACTACTACCTTGAGCCAGTAGCTGAGATTACAGGGGTACAATTTCGTCCTCCGTCTTCTTGTTATGCCATCCTAATGGAATTTTGGCTTTAGGCTGTTGTGCCTACCCACGTCTTGGGTCACATCTTGATGGACTTTTCACATCCATGCGATTCTTGGAAAAGAAGTGTCCCGGCTACGAGGAAGAACCTCCTCATGCTCTGCCGAACCAAATTCGCTCTGTCATGCGTACTGTCTTGTTCATTGACAAAGTTCGTGCTCTGGCTTCAGCTCAAACTCCTGCTCTGGCTGAGAGTGCTGAGAATGCGCCTGCGGTGTCGGCTGTAGCTGAGAAATGCGGGTGAAGAATCTTCTATGTATCACAAAGCTTGCTTTTTCGTTCTCTTACGAGTCCCTTTTCTTGTCCAATTATTTATGTGGATTAATCATGCAATTGTGCGCTTGTACACCTTCTGCTGTCAATACATTCAACATTATTACAATGAAACTGTCACTATGCATACTGTCTTAAATAAAGAATGAGCTTGAGATCCATTGTCACATCCTTGTGGTCTGACCGAGTCCTACAATGAAATGTTGGTATGTCTGATCGGCTATAGGAAGAATGTTAAACTTACCGGTGGTTGAAAAAGCAAATAGTGGTCATCACCGGCGTCTGCTTTCAGAGTTCAGATGCCTACAGGCTACCACCAACAGTTTCACCTTGACATGTTAGGCTTTTGAGTTATCTTGAGTCAGCCTTGGGGAATTGCATGGCGAACAAAGGGACAATTATTCTGTACGAGCTTTGGTGCTGCTGCGGGATCATGCCAGAAAGGAACGCAAGCACGAGAGGTGTACTGCAGTTTCTGCCTAGTGACATTGTCATCTATCGAGTTGACAATTTCCTCTTAGGTGGACAGTACTAACGGGAGCATTTCTTCATGCGTATGGGTTGGTGGTCATCTCTGGATGCGGATGCGTGCAATGGAAGGTGTTCACTAGCTGCATTTGAGGAACGTCTCTGTGCACGAGGATGGCTGGGCAAGGAAGGAAACACCTTTCGTATGATTGTGACGAGACTATGATGCGCCCTGACGATACAACAGACTCGCATCTGGTTGGTTGACCAGGAGGAGTGTTTCTTTATGTCGTATCCATTCCATATGGCATTGATTGCACAGCCAGGTGGGGGTGGCGTGAGGACGGCAAGGATGACACCATAAGAAATGTGCAAGATTTAGGAACGAGTACAGACCCAAGTCACCTGTCGTAAGACTAGGTAAATGACAGAACCCTTTATAAACAATGTTAATGGTAAGGTTGGTTATAGAGATATCTGACGTATCTCAACTTTATCATATAGTTATTATATGCACAGATGTAATGGTAAATAAACCCAGTCAATGACACTATACCTTGCTAGCCTTACCTGTAATGGAACAACAATAATATTCCAATATATGAGTTTGAGGCATATATATAGCCTAATAAAGACATTACTACAAATGACTTCGGTATAGGACATATCCCACTCATTAGATGCTCAGGATTCACTCGCAGTAGGCAATAGGGTGAAGCAAATACATTCTCTAATTCATCTATAAGACATTATTCCATATGGTACCATCCAGCAATAGTAATACATCGAGAAAACACATCAAGACTCTTTAAAAGTCGCCACAACCCAGTAGTCATATCATAGCAAAGCAGAAGTAAAGGTAACTGAAAGTGGAAAGCACAAACACATAACCTAATATCCAAGC